ATAAAGATTCTAAATGCTGGTGCCTGGGCAAGGGGCAGTGAGAGGGTTCAAGTATCATTGCCTCTTGAGTTAGAAGATTTTATTCCTGATTAGAAGATTTCTATCATCGAAAACTACAATGGTACCACCACATGTCTAATGGAGCGGTAATGTTTTTAATTGTTCTCTTCTATTGTGACACATATTTTGTTCTTCTCATCTACTGGATTTTTCCTGGTCTACTGGTTTAATTAAAATTCTCCTGATTTTTGTACATTTTATAAAATTCCCTAAAATTAAATAAGTTTCCTAAAAAAAATCTATTAAAATGAAAATTTTGTTGCTTGCTTAAATATTTAAATAAATATTAATAGTACATAATGAAGCGATCTTCATTTATAGAAATCAATTCTAAACTTTTTTGTTTTAAAATGTTCACTATATTTTTTATTCAAAACTCTTTCTTTAAATTTATTAAATAAATCTTTTAACTATATTTGATGAATTAAATGTCTTTTAATATTCAAAATTATGAGTATACATGATACATAACATTTCAGGTATGTTTAATGTCAATCGTAACTGGAAAATATTGCAATTTTTCTATTTTGATGACTTAAAATTCCCTATGTGCAAAATATTTAGTACACTATGCACCAATTTTCATGAAACTTTTATTTCATAAAATCTTCTGGATTTTTTCCTGTCCTTGTTGGGAGCTATGCATATACCTTCTTAAATCTTTTAATATCATCTGTAATTTGGTTCTGAATAATCTGTATCACAAGACTGAATTAACTATCTATCATTGTGAGATTAACTATCATTGTGAGATTTTAAATTTAAGTTCTTGTGTACAAATTTCATCTGTTATAGTTTATATACTTGTGTATCATAAAATCTACTTGTTTAGTCTTCACCCTTGGTAAATTTGATTTGTACCTGGCAAAATGACATATTTTTTCATTAAAAAGTAGATTTCAATTCTAACTGAATTTTTATGTATATATATATATATATGCGTGTGTGTGTGTGGACTCAGGCATGGACTACTACATTCAAGTATAATGCAAATCACTAAATGGTTCCGGTTTGAATATGCAGATCTGTCCTGTAGTCCAGTATAATTTATTCCCAAATGAGCAATCCTGCACTAATACAATGGCGTCGATCAATATCTTGAAAATAACACTTAAATAGTGACAACCAGAAAATTCCGTACAATAAATATCCCACAATTCAGAAAAACCTTTCATAATAATTTCAATAAACAATTCTGAACTGGTACCGGTGCTCAGTATATGAAAGTCCGAAGTGAATCAGATTACAAGCTAAAACTGGACTCGACAGAAAATATCAAACAAGCCCACTGTGTCGATGTCATGTTACATATTTTACATGTTACACATTATTACATGTTTTTTCTCCAAGATAACCGCTAGCGACAGTGAGCCACCGTGAGAGGATCGCATCTGACAGGCCTGTGGACATATAAACCAATATTTTTTGAACGACTATAGACGGTTTGCCTTAATCAGACCAGTCGCTGCCGATAGCTTACGCGACAGGTCAGATGCTGTGTTCGGTTTGCTTCTTTTGACAATTACTGCCAAAACCGGTGGTCTTCATTCAGCATTATAATTCGGAGGTGACCGGTACTATATCATTTATTGACATTTAACTTCATTTTGAAATCGTTGCCCAAGCCTAGAGATGGCACTTTGTGCAAGTTCAAGTTTTTCGGACACTTCCAACTGAGTGCTCACTTGTTCCAGCCGGTCGATAATTTAACCATATAAAAAAACATTCACGTACGTCTTCTGTTTCATAACTATTTGATAATGGCCTTGAGCTACCTACAAAACGCACGTGATATATTTAACTTTGCCACCATTACTCATATGCTCTTCTCTTTCACGCTCGACATTTGATAAGGCCACCCTTATTCGATTCCTCAGTGGACACTTAATATCATTAAAATATTCAGATGGTTCGAAGGGCTACGATAGATGCACGATGTGCTACAATAAACAAGCATCCCGTAGTCACAACCTTGCTGGCCTTGGGATTACCAGATAAGATTTGAGGGATAATCCTTTGATGTCGTTGGATGTTCTTAGGGTGCGCAAAATCATGGACCTGATTTAGCCCTACTGATCTTGGGGATGAACAAAAACAAAAACTCTCGTCTTTGTGACGTACTAGCGACGTCATCTGGTGATTTCATGCAATATACTATATCACTAGGAGGCTTCGCCCCCTGCTCGCTGGCGCTCTCCAACCCCCGGAACTGCTTTCGCAGTTCATTTCGGATTGCTTCGCAATCCGATGCTCGCTTTGCTCACTCATTGGATACGTTCTTAACGTCTAGCTTTTGTATACTTTTTTGAACACTGAAGTTCCGAAAGCTTTTCACTGTAGAATATTCTAAACCTGTGCATTTCAATATTAATTTGAAATCGCAAACAGTTCACATATTTTTCGTAATCACACTATTCTAAGTTTCAGCTGTTGAGAAAAGTAACTGTTGTAAGTTTTGTTTTAAAGTCATTCCCACCAGAGGGTTGAAACCATGTGTTGTAAAACAATATGAAATAGTACTGAACGCCGGATGTAAAGCATCAGTTTCGATGAGGATAATTTTGTGAGAATTTTTTTGATAATTTGGTGAGAATTCACCCGATTAGATATATGATGCTCACTACGTGCTCTTGNAGTGACAACCAGAAAATTCCGTACAATAAATATCCCACAATTCAGAAAAATCTTTCATAATAATTTCAATAAACAATTCTGAACTGGTACCGGTGCTCAGTATATGAAAGTCCGAAGTGAATCAGATTACAAGCTAAAACTGGACTCGACAGAAAATATCAAACAAGCCCACTGTGTCGATGTCATGTTACATATTTTACATGTTACACATTATTACATGTTTTTTCTCCAAGATAACCGCTAGCGACAGTGAGCCACCGTGAGAGGATCGCATCTGACAGGCCTGTGGACATATAAACCAATATTTTTTGAACGACTATAGACGGTTTGCCTTGATCAGACCCGTCGCTGCAGATAGCTTACGCGACAGTTCAGATGCTGTGTTCAGTTTGCTTCTGTTGACAATTACTGCCAAAACCGGTGGTCTTCATTCAGCATTGTAATTCGGAGGTGATCGGTACTATAGCATTTACTGACATTTCCACCATTTTGAAATCGTTGCCCAAGCCTAGAGATGGCACTTTGTGCAAGTTCAAGTTTTTCGGACACTTCCAACTGAGTGCTCGCTTGTTCCAGCCGGTCGATAATTTAACCATATAAAAAATCATTCACGTACGTCCTCTGTTTCATAACTATTTGATAATGGCCTTGAGCTACCTACAAAACGCATGTGATATATTTAACTTAGCCACCATTACTCATATACTCTTCTCTTTCACGCTCGTCATTTGATAAGGCCACACTTATTCGATTCCTCAGTGGACACTTAATATCATTAAAATATTCAGGTGGTTCGAAGGGCTATGATAGATGCACGATGTGCTACAATAAACAAGCATCCCGCAGTCACAACCTTGCTGGCCTTGGGATTACCAGATAAGATTTGAGGGATAATCCTGTGATGTTATTGGATATTCTTAGGGTGCGCAAAATCATGGACCTGATTTAGCCCTACTGATCTCGGGGATGTACAACAACAAAAACTCTCGTCTTTGTGACGTACTAGCGACGTCATCTGGTGATTTCATGTATTATACTATATCATTTTTGATGTGAGTCATAATCCAGGGATTTAAGATGTGAGTCATAATCCTACAGGGGAAATTTTTACTTTAAAAATCAATTTCCGTGTTATTCTGATTTTTCCTTAATTTATGGACATGAGTGTATTTTTAAAAGAGCACACAAGTGTATAGATCATGTATATGTATATCAGCCTAAGTATATCAACCTATCCGTTCTTTATAAATTGTGCATTCAGACAAAAATTAAATTAAACTAAAAATATCATTTTTTTAAAAAAAAAAAATCTGTAGTTTTTGGAATAAAACTAATGTCAGATTTGATATCCTCACATCTGAATTAGGTAAGATCAATTATTTACGTAAATGCAACAAAATATTTGTTCCCCAGTGTTTACGCAAGAAGGAGAAAAACTATATCTCTTTATTTCAAACGTACCATCAGCGGACTCAATTATCACAAAATATAGTTGTAAATGGGTGAACAAATAATGAAAAGTGAGCAAATAATGGCAATTATAGATATAAGGTATAAAGACTTCTAAAGATTTAAGCAAATTATACTTACACGTGACAAAGACTAAAAAAGTACGAAGCAAAAGTTCGAAAACTGTTTGAATTTTCGGGGAAAATCTCTTCTCCAGTTGAAACTTTTCTTTCAAATAAGACCATATAATTGATAAAGCCACATAAAACTGAAGAGGATGTGACAGGAAGATAGCGAGGGCAAATGTGAGACGAATTGTTTCACTCAGCCTAATAAAATATTGAGCATTGTTATCAATAAAATTGCACGAATAATAAATAATATCAATATAGCTGTACAAATAGCAAAATATTTTAGTATAAATTTACAAATAACAAATTGTTTAAATATAATTGTCAAATAACAAATTATGTCTATATAATTGTACAAATAATAAATTAGGTCATTATAATTATACAAAGGAAAAATTATATCAATATAATTGTACAGATTAAACAAATCATGCCAATATCATTCTACAAATAACTCTAATATTACTGCATCACACCAGCGCCGAATCGTTTTTATCTTAGCTACTTTAACTCAGTTTTGTAGTTTGTAGTTCGCAATGAAAATTTTTCGAACGAGCAAGTTTATTTTTGTTTCGCTTTTCTTACCCGCGGTGGCATTTCAACATTTAATTTGACCGATTGATTTTTTTAGTGTGAAGCTTTGTTTAACTGTAACCGATAAATGGTTACCTCTCATTGGAATGCTTTCTTAGCGCCACTTGATGAATTTTTTCGTTACCGGAGAAGGTGACTTTATTTGGTGAGATTTTGTACTGAATTTTTATAAAATTTCGTTCCTCTTACATTTATGCTAGCCATAATTTTCAAGATTATTATTCACGTTTTAAAATTCTTTATTATACGGTGATTTAAATTACTTAAAATCAAAAGTTGATACTCAGATTAAGATATTAAAGCAAAAAATTTAACGTAATTTTGCAGGTATATAATACGCATGATAACTATAAGTACAATAACATAGCGTTGCTTTCCAATTTAATAAAAACTGAGGAAAAGAACTCGAATACTTACGGATGTTTAGGAAGACTGAATGTTATACTTGGTTTGACATTATTCCCATATTTTAGGTAACCATAAAAACCGACAGCTATGTCCAGGCAAATCACAATGATCATTCCTGTGGTGAGGACACCAGTAAAACCCCCGAAATCTTCTGGCGTTTTCATAGCATTCTGAAGAGGGAGAACCTGAAACAAATGGAAGCTTTTTAGCGTAATGTCTACTGAAATAACAACATTATAGTGTTTCACTATAAATTTCGAGAAAAATGGGTTGAAAAAACAACGTAAGTTTCTCATAATAAATTTAGAGAAAAAATATTGAGAAACTATTGTCTTTCCATTGGGTGTGCTGAAGCAAAAAACTTAAAGTAAATTTAATGAATGGCTTCCGAGATGTTTTTATGCAAATACAACTTTCTGTAATTTTATTTTTTTATTTTTTTAAGTTCTTCTATTTATTGTTAAAGTAGTTATTGGGAGCTGCTTTAGTCAATTTAATTAATGTACTTTTTCCACATAAACATACGATAGTAGATAATTTAGGTTTATCAACTATCGATACTTATGCTAGTTATAAAGTTATGTTACATGCCTAAGTAGATAAATTTATGTTTGATGAATTTCATTCATTTTTGTACAATTCGCCTCATACCATTTTTTTCTATTCAAATTTTTAACTGAGTCATTCAGTAGCAAAGCCTGTACCTTTCTTACATTTTTCCTTTTACCATATTTTGAAAGCAAGTATCCATTGCAATTTCAACCAAATCCACGATTTATATCTGTCTGAAAATCTCACTTAGCAGGAAAACTGACCAAGTCCTACAGAAGGGAATTTCAAAACCATCTCCATATTTGGTAAAGTCGCTTTTGAAAAACTTTTTTTGCACAAGCTCTCTCTCTTCTTTTTTTTTCGCGCCTGAGAAGGGGCGCCTATTTCTGAGCACTCAAAATGTGTCAAAAATATGCACATTTTTATAACCAGCTTTGAGCAGTTGACCTAATTCTGAGCTTACAACTATCAATGTTCAACTGCGTTGCACCGTTTTGAACTCAACCCAAAAGACAAGGGAGTTCCTTGATTAGGCATTGGGACAAACTAGCCTTCGTGGAGGACATTTTAATGAAACTATCCGTAACGTAAAATGGAGAGAAAACCACTAAATCCTCCCATGCTAACCCGAGGGCAAAGGGGGATTTTCAACCCATGATCTGTCTACGACTGAGGATATTTTACGTCAGCACTGTGGTTGCTGCTAACCGGGAGCGGAATTTGTATCAACAGCCACCACTGGGATTCGAACAAACCTTGGACTTTTATAGTTTTTTGTACCTTAGTAATTTTTGAAGTTAAAGATGATTTTTCCGGGTCAAGTAAGTCTTTCTGCTCCAGTTATATTATTTCAGACGTTTCTAGATCTGCCTTTAGTACTTTGAGTTCGAAATTGTAGTTTAGAAATAACTATATTAGAAACTATTTCAATCTTACCACTCCAATGCCTTCAAAAGCAAAGGTTACAGTTCCAAAGAACAAAGGCCAATTTTTGACAGGTGCTGTATATGGGTAGAGATTGGAACTGTGCCTCCCCTGTACAAGGAAGTAAAACACCATCACAAAACTGACAACTAAGAGGAAATTGGCAATACTTGTAGTGATGGACAATCTCTTAAGGCTTCTGATGAAGTTGAATAGAATCAAAAATGGAAATATGATGGCCATGAACTCATGAAGGGAAAACGGAGAAGAGCCGAAAAGATTTTCAGAAACCTGAAAAGTAATAAAAAATAATTTAAAGAAAATGATTTTAAAAACCGAATAAGAAATAAAATTTGTAAAATTTATTTTTAGAAATTGCGAAATTACAATTTAACACTTCGTTTCATTATTTTTTCTGATTTCATTTCTTTGTATTTCTTGTGCTGCTGAAAATAATGATCAATCTGAGACATCCAGTTTAATTCATATATGATAACTTTATCATAAATCATGCATTAGCAGGGATGCCAACTGTTATTTGTTCTAATGCTGCCACAAACGACATATAATTAATGTAAACGATTGATTCATCACGATGCATTTGAATTCCTTATTAGCAGCTCTATAATGCATGGATATGTAGGAAAATAGTGGAAAATTTTAATATAATTTTATATATAATAATACAATTGCTTGCTGCTAAAAATTTAAAAAAAAATAGTTTAAACTCAATTCATTTTTATATATTTATTATATCTTTAATTATTCAACTGTATCTATAACACATTTAAAATTATTCTTACATTGCAAATTATTCTTATTCCAAATAAAAACTTTAATTTGCAATACTGAACTAAAAAATATATGCAGTAAAATTTTTTTAAATTTTAATTTCTTTTTTATTAAAAGAAATTAAAATTAGCAAGTGTGTGTGGGCTGACCTAAAAAATTCAAAACTTTATTAGTTTTGAATTTTATAGAGCAGCACTTTTTTTCATTAATAGTCACCGTGGAAACCCTGCATTTGTTTTACAATTCATCTATTCTATTAGCTGAATTTTGGCTTTTAGTAAGAGATAAAAAAAAGTAAATAGTCAATTAATCGATAATCATCAGCACTGCGCAATAATATGCAAATTTTAAAAGTGTATATTATTATATAATTTTATATTTCAAGAAAATAATTACTGGAATTTTTAAAAAAAATCTTATGTTTACGGTACTTTTATTTACGTCGCTCTGGAGCTGCGTAATGGGCTACTGGCAACGGACTAGAAAACATCCCTTAGGAAAAAATATGCATACATTACATCCCTTTCATTGAGAGCTCACATTTACACTCCATCCATCCGCAGATCGTAATTTTGACCAGAGCCAGAACACGATCAATCTCCTATCCACTACCCCCAGAGGTTTCGATTTGTTTTGGGAACCTGGAGGAATTTATGACCCCGTCAAATTTAGCGTGCATCAGTCACCATTTTGTACACCGGTAGTCTTCGGCCGGCTGGAATCGAATTTGTGACACCTCGGACATGGCCCAACACCCGACCAGCCAGGCTATCCCTGTCTCACTGATGGTCACGGAGAATGATATAATCTGTGTTCGATTGAGAGATACTCAAATGATACACTACCTAGTTTGGAAATCAATTCTAGTAAAGCCATGCCACTTCTGCGGAATTACTGTTTGCAGCACCGTACAATAACGCTTAACAGCCTTCTCTATATACTGATAAAAAAAAAGGCATGCCGCGCCCTAAGAAAGCTATGGATAAGAAAAAGGCATACAAGCGGTGAATCCATAATCTTAAACGTTGGATTGAGCCGAGGCATCACCTCTTACATCAGAAAGCCTCCACACGGTTTTTTATAAGTAGTCTGCGCAGACTATTTAAAAAGTGAACAGTTTGAGTGCATGAAACCAAATTCTATTTTAAAAGTGGCTGAGAAGAGTCTAACATATGTATTTGAGAATTGAATCTGTAGTGGTAGACAAGTAAATAAGACAAACTGATCATATTCGTAAATTAAGCAAATTTTTAGACATATATTTGCTACCACTTTCTTTTTTACTAGATTTTCTATTAAAGGGCTCTTTTATAGACTGATTTACCTACATAGTGGATTGGTCAGACTGCCTGTAAAAAACCGCGTGGGGGCTTTCAGTTGTAGGAAGCGTTGGCAGAGGTGATGAGAGAGCATGTTAATGAAAAAGTAGGGAAATCTGCATCTTGTATGTCTCTACCTAAATATTACAATACTACCTAAATATTACTTTCTTTTCTCCAAAAAAATGTTTAGATTGGCCTGCAATTAATTATAACACATAGGCTAATTATCAAGTCCTTTAGTTTTATAATCATGGCTGTTGTAATCCATTTGGAGAATAAATGGATCAATTTTTTTACAATACTCCACACTAACAGAAAAATTTGCTAGTATTTTTCAAATAACCAGAAGTTTTTTTAGGTTCATTGCAATGAACTATTACACACTTAAGCTTATACAAAATTGCACATACATCTGCTTAACACTAGGTTTACGGGACGCGTCATTTTGACGCATTTCAAATTTTATAAGGAAAATTACAAAGCCCGTTTGCATTTTTATTTTATATCTTGTAATAACTTTTATCCATTGATGGAGGTAAATATATATTGAAGTCTATTTTCTTCAAAAACGGTGAAATAGTGAAATTCTCTTTGTGGTATACCTATCTCTACGGATGTGCGTCAATTTGAAGCTATCGTAATTTAGACAAAATTTTGAGTAAACATGCAAACATCACATCACTAATAAATAGAAATGTAACGACAATACTTCGATCCGTTATCGTTATCTCAAATGAAACAAGCGATAAACATCTGTTGCTGGTGAGCAATAATAGAAAGAACAAATGCAGAATGTTAATTGATGTCAGATTTTGAAGGTTCCAGTTGCTTAGTTCGAGTATTGAAAAATAAAATGCTAGAATATTTCATAAATATATTTTTTTTCTTACTGTACAAAATTACAATGCTTTCTAAGTGTAGAGATGCTAACTATTACCGGGAACGCCAAAATAATTAAGAAAACGGTAAGTAACTAATAAATAATTTTGCGTTTATAAAGTGGTGAATCTTATAAGCCTACCAATTATTTAGAAATAGTGGTGGATAAAAATCTACTAAATTGAATTTATTCAACGAAGAATCACAATTGATAAACTACCACTTTAAAATATATATTTGCTGTTACAAGTTGGCATCTCTGTGAGTGCTGTTATATGTATTCGTTCATGCGTCAAATTGACGCTTGTTCGTAGAGATAATTATATCTTTTATAAATTTTTCCCAGACCCGCCCTTATTTAGGGCATACGGGTAAATGTTTATCAAAATCATAAAAAAACCCAGAAAACAGAACATACATAAATTACATATCAGACATGGCAACAGCCCATGATCATGGCGGGGGCAGTGCAGCAAAAATCATGTAAAGTGATAAAACATTGAAACAGCAATAGAGATAGCGCAATAGAGATGGTATATAACAAACGTCCGTAAACCTAGTGTTAATAACCACTTTAATGACCTCGAACTGTTATAAGGTAATTGGGGGAACTGTGGCTTTTATCTTGTAATCAGTCACATAACCGCAGATTTTTATTAAGCTTCTTTTCCATCAAATTCGAATTCTGTAGAAATGGTTCCAATAGTATGGTCAGGAGAGCGATCAAAAGTTTAGTTCTCTTAATTTTAATTTTTGCGGGTTAAGCAATATCTAGATGAATTTTCAAGGTCTTTTATACACAGTTATAAAGTTCGTTTACCCAAAGATTATTCTATGCAATAAGTAGCTTTAAATAATTATTTATCATTTATTATTATTTTTGTGAAAACGTTTCAAAAAATTTTGAATTTTAAGCCATGTGAATTATTAAATCAATTTAGGAAATGTAATTTTAAACAAATAAAAAATTACTGCTTCTTTTTACGTGACAAATGTTGAGATAGAAATGAGGTGGTTCAAATTTTATAAACTACCGTTTTAAAAAATAATATATATTTAATATAAATTTTAATTTTGAAGATTAATACATATTATTAATTCTTTGCTATAGTAAAATCTAATATAGGTATCTGATAGCAATACATTTTGCTGGTAGATACTGAAAATAATAAAAAAGGAAAATATTTCTGAATACAGTCTATTTCGTAGAATTGAAAAGTTTATTTTTTTAAAGATGTGACAGTAATTTGCAATAAAATGGTAGTTTTGAAAGTTCAGAAGATTGGTTGATAAGTATTCATCTTTTAGATCTGAAAATTTCTTCAGTTCTTGAACAGGCTTCTCAACAATTAAAAAGCGGTTCAATTATAAACACAAATATAGATAATTAGGTCTGTCTGAAAGTTCTGTTCGCGAAGAAACACGTCAAATTTTCAGATGTGCATTTATTCATGCTATAATGAATTACAATTTCTTTTTATTTTCTAATGCATTAGATTTTTGAAAGGAATTTTGGATATTTTTTCGTCGCTTATTGCAATTTCGCAATCGGTTTCACTCTACAAGATGCAGTTTTTATGCAATTTATAAATATATTTCTATCCAAAAAAATTTTAAATTTAATTTGTGTGACTACTAAGAGTTCCCACTTCTCTGCTACGTAGAAAGTGGTAGGAAGAAGGGGATCATACGTTTACGAGGCGATAAATTACGTTAGTTTGTAATGAGCAAAATAATCAATATGACTTTTTTCCGTAAGAAACAAATATTATTAATATTTAGGTACCATTTATCACGCTGAAGTCGTGTTCCTTACAAAAGATATGCAGCGATGTCACAGGCTACTAAATTTTAAAAAGTGGTAGAAATTTTATTTATTTATTTAATAACACTATGAGTTACATTTCAAATTGTTTTTGTTGAAAGTTTAAGGAAAATCATTCTAGGAATCCACTTTCAGTGGTAAACTAGAAATAGAAACTACTCCGCATTCTGCAAAATTCTAATAAATTGGTAGAGAATTGAAAAGTAAACCATATAGAATTAGGAAAATTACACACACTCTTTTAAAGTGTCACCAGGAGACAACAGTAATAATGTTGCATTTCTTATGATATTTTATATTTTCAGTACGTCAAATTACAAAGAAAATGAAAGAATTTATAACTAAAAATAACTTTAATTTTGATATAACTGGAAAATATTTTTTTACAAAGCTGAGCAAGTTGGTATTTCTGGTAATCTAGAAAAATATGCTATAAAATTTGAAAATTTTAATCTCTTTTATTGAAATTCTAAATTTTAATCGGCATCACTTTTTAATATTTTAGTCACCCATGGCAAACCTGGAAATGCATACTACTTAAAAAAAAAAATAACATATTTTATAATAAATGATTTACAACAGGTTCAATTTATAACAGGTTCGGAATTAGACTTCAGAACTGATCTTAACACTAGGTTTACGGGACTCGTCATTTTGACGCATTTCAAGTTTTGTAAGAAAATTACAAAAAACGTTTGAATTTTTTTTTATCTCTTGTAATGTCTTTTATCCATTGATCGAGGTACATTGAAGTAATTTTTCTTCAAAAACGTTGAAATAGTGAAATTCTTTTTGTGGTATACATATCTCTACGGATATATGAGTCCATTTAACGAGATCGTAATTTAGACAAAATTTTGAGTAAACATGCAAACATCACATCAATAATAAATAGGAATGTACCTACAATACTTCGATCCGTTATCTCAAATGAAACAAGTGATAAAGAACTGTTGCCGATGAGCAATAATAGAAAGAGCAAACGCAGAATGTCAATTGATGCCAGATTTTGAAGGTTTCAGTTGCTTAGTTCGAGTATTGAAAAATAAAATACTAGAATATATCTCATATTATCTTTTTTTTTCCTTCCTAGTCCTAGTGTTTTGATTCTATTGGGCACCCATTCATCTATCCCATTCATCTGGAATTTTAGAACAGTTTTGGTAGAGCAATGAGGTAAGCAGGCAATGGAGTTGCTTTTATGAATGTTTCAAGCTCTTTGCTTGAATAACTAAAAAGGAATCAAAAATAAATTGAGCAGCTTGCTCTAAACTGTGTTTGTTTGATTTTGGAGTTGTTCAGAATTGTATCAGCATGAGTAAACGTTATTTTCAGAAAGGTTGATGAAATTATTTGTTTTGATAGTTATGATATGAGGCGTCGGAGGTGAAATGTGCAGCTATTGGTCTGTAGTTTTTATCTTTGATATAATTTTCAAATTTAAAGATTTCATTAAAATTTGCTGTTTTACATTCTATGGCTTTATCGAAAAAATCTGCGTTTAGCTTGTATATATGCTGTGATAGAGTTGGTATTTTGAGGTCTGCATGTATATTGGTATTCCGGATGAACCATCTTGCACAGGTTATTTTTCTAAGGATCTTGTTTTGGCATTGGTTTAATTTCTTCAGTAGATGTTGAGGTATCGTTGTCCAGGCAGGTGAGGCATAGGTAAGTATTGGGCGGATCATTGCTGTATATAGTAGCTTCTTTAGTTTAAGTGACATATTCTGATTATATATTAATGGTTGTATGGCTATTATTGCTGCATTTTGGATTAATATTGTGCTTTTGATGTGATCATTCCAGGTGAGTTTGCTATTGATTATAAGGCCAAGATAATTTGCTTTTTTAACTATTGGTATTGGTATGTTGAACATTTTTGGTTTTTTTTCTTCCTTATAGTATGTAACTACATTGCTTTCTAAGTGCAGAGATGCCAACAGCTCCTGACACGCCAAAATAGATATAAAAAAAACGGTAAATAACTACTAAACAAATTTTGCAAATTTGACTTGGTAGGAGGTTTGTTGAAGTACCTGCCTGCTGCAGCCGTCACCCGACTTCTTCATTAGAAAGCATCCACACGGTTTCTTATAGGTAGTCATCGCAGACTATTTAAAAAGTGAGCCAGTTGTGCGCATGAACTCAAATTTTATTGTAAAAAATGACTGAGAGAAATTTCGCATATATATTTGAGAAATAAATCTGTAGTGGTAGACAAGTAAATAAAATAAACCAATCATATTCATAATTTAAACAAATTTTTAGACATACATTTGATACCACTTTCTTATATTTACTAGATTTTCTATTAAGTGACTCTTTCGTAAAATGGTGCACTTTCATAGTGGTCTGATCGTACTTCTACAAAAAACTGCGTGGAGGTTTTCAGTTGTAGAAGGCGTTGGATGGGCTAACTGGCTACTGAGACTATTGGCATTGAATAAGTAAATTTTGCAAATATAAAGTGGTGAATTGTATAGGCCTACGAATCATTTAGAAATGGTGGTGGATAAAAATCTACTAAATTGAATTTATTAAACCAAGAATCAAAATTGATAAACTACCACTTAAAAATATACATTTGCTGTCCGGACCAAGTGGGCATCTCTTTAAGTGCTGTTATATGTAATCGTTCTTGCGTCAAATTGACGTGTGTTCGTAGAGATAGGTGTATAAGAAACGTTCGTAAACCTAGTGTTAAATAATCTTGGCAACATACTTGATTTTATACATACTTAATGAAATGTACTGAATAAGTTTATATTTAAGAGATAAATTTGGTAGAGATAATTACTAATTTCAATCGTAATGAATAAATGGTATTGTAGTGAAACTATATATAAATTTGGTATATAATGAAAAGGCTTACCTCATAGAGACTGTTAGCAACAAAAAGAAAATATACACAACAGAATCCAAACTGCGTAAGTATTAACATAATGTCTACAGAGTGTCTGCAAAAATAATGCCAATGAGTAAGGATAATATTTATAAATGAAAATATTTAAAAGTTACAAAATCATATAATTCTGCATACAATAATTCAGCAGATCATAGCAAATTATATACAGGGGTTGGTTAAAATAATGGAAACTTTCTTATACTAACTAAATATAAAAAAAATTTATCGTAAGTTTCAAAGATTTTTCATGGCAAAACTGTTGGTACAATTCGAATAAGAGGTTTTCTTTACACATGCAAAAAATTTAGNAATGCCATTAGTCTCAGTCGCCCTAGGGCATAACACAGATCAGAGGTCTGGTGCCCGCTTGCGCGGGCAGGTACCTTGACAAAATTACATGATCCAGCAGGGTGACATCGATTTTATTGATACGTTCTTACGTAATTTCACTATTTTCTCACTCAGATGAATGAGCTAAAGCCGCAGCCTGCGGCTGGTACTCAGGTCCAAACGTTATATAGGTATAGGGTGACATCGAGGTTTTCCTGTTTCACAAGTTTGATCTTCAAAACTCTACCATCACCCTTGGTAGATATTGGTAAATCATAATTATATGTAGTGCATTAGGTTTCACATTTAACAAGTAGTAAACCTTGCGACCACTTTTTATTACTACCACTATACCAAACAAAAGGTTACACAGCGATGAACTTACAGATAACACGATTACCAAGTGATTCCTTATGTAAAGCTGTTACGATCAATGCCAACAATTGGCGATATTCTCATTTTTCTGCCAAATGTTAATTCGTCTTTGAAAGCCCTCTAATTTTCACTATGAAATGAAGTTTGAATTCGGGTGCTATTTTTGCATGCTAAATCGAAAGCAATATTTAAAATTGATATGTTTCTTCAGAAAAAGTGTGTTTTTCTTCAAAGTAAGCATATTCCACAAAGGTTACAGTTAACTGTTATTTACAATTTAAAATATTTCTTTGATATATTGCCATTAAACTTTACTGAATGAAAATCCGACAAACAATTGAAAAGTAATCCGATTACATTTTTTTCACTCCGTACAAAAACTTAATTATTCTATATTTTAAAGATTTATAACTCCCACTATTTTTTATTGAATTTTGATTTTATATAAATTTAATTAAGATTGCAAGTCCAATGATCTTAAATATTTAGTGAACAGCATTTTTAAAAAAATCAGTCTAGCAGTAGACTGATTGGGTTTAAAAGAGTTAGTCTATAGTTAAAACTTTACCCGCCACGAAGTCTAAGGCTGTCTGCCGCTGCGGAAACAAGATATAGCGCATTTCAAAGAGAGGAGCTTACCGATCCGATCCAAAACTGACCCAACACCGCTACTTGAAATAATTAAGCCTCTTAAGCTATCGTCTGGAGTAACCATAATCACCGTGGCTATGGTTACTCCAGACGATAGCTATAGGAGTTCTTTATTTAGACAAACTATAGTTTACATTTTTGTTTTGGTGGAAAATTGTAGGATATAATCGTGTAAAACTATTAAAAACATGTTTTTATTTTATTTTTTAGAGAAAAGTTTTTGCAGAAATGCTATCTTCGCTTGCTTCTGTTACTAGCTAAAATGATCATCCACCTGGTAATTGCACCTTGTAAAGGTTAGATCCACTGTTTGAATTGAATGAAGCCTGCCCACCGACACTAACCCCAAACGAAGAGAGTGTCTTTTTACTACCGCTGTCACCTATCAGGGAAAAGGCAAGTACGCCTATCACTGCTTACAGTGTGCTTACTGCTTCTGCAAACAGAAAAAGAAAAAATGTGAAAGATAAACGCAAGAAGCTTGATTCTAATTCTTCCTCTATGAAACTATTGTAAAACCAATTATCTGAATTAATTCTGATTCTGAAATGCATCATAATAAAAAGTTGAGAACTGCTAATTTAATATACAGTATTACGATTCAGGTATTGGAATATGCTGGTCCCGAGAAGTGCCGCCTACTAATAAAGACGCTCCTAATTTTGACGTTAATGATAAAATATATGAAAATAAAGGTAGGGAGGAGTCAGAAACTGAAAATATGAAAAATAATTTTCAATTGCTTGCCTGCAGTCAAAAAGGCCAGAATATCACTATACTTATTAAAGATAACTTCTATAGATGGAAATAAATGTTTTTTGTCAAAAAACATATAACTGAATTTACCTGTAAAATACTTGGTCACCATATAAATTTAAAAGTGGAAAGCATGGAATCCAATAGATTTGTCACGAAAGGAAAATACGTAATACCACACATTTCAATTAATTGGCCCTTGAAAGTAGTCTTAGCGAACATATCAGTTGAATACAAAGAAATGTAATACTTGAAATGAAATGAAATGTTAATCACCTAGCAAAAGGAGCAAGAAACTGCACTTTCTTGGGTCCCGAACGAAATGCTTGTTCAGCAGTTGTGGAATAATCTAAAGATGCAACACCCATTCTGAAAAAAAATGTCAAAAATGTTACTTCATGTTACAGGGTAACACCAAAATCAACTTTTCAGTTTTAATCTGGTGCGTGCAGGATTGATAAGTTTCGTTGTTTGTATAGTGTGCAAAATAAAATTAGAATACTTTAATAATCAGATTTTTTTTTATTAGAGATGAAAAGGAAATTCTCCTGAAGAGAATTAGATGATTGAAAAAAAAACCGGACTTAAAAGAGTATTCGAATGTCCTTACACAAAATCATTTAACACAAAATCATATTTCCTATTTTTTTTTTTCCGTTATGAGTAGGATTGATAAGTTTTGTTGTTTTTTTTATATTTCATAACCGTCGTTAAACAGCAGACCCATTTTACGGGTTTACGTCTACTAATGTTCAACTCCGTAGCCTTGTAATTTTGAACTCATTACAGATGACAAGAGAACACTTGGATAGAGTATTGGGAGAAATTTGCCTTCTTGGAGGGCGTTTTGATGGAGCTAACGCGCACAGGGCTGAAAAAAAACTGGTAACAAATAAATTTCTTTTTTTAGTTTTTTTCTGGGAGTAATAAAAATCCATAACTACCAATTGTTTTAAATGCATGCAATTTTTATATTGAATTGCTTCTTCACAGTGAAAAATTTCTTTACAGTGAATTGTTATTGTTGAGAATAGATTAATTCCTCCCGAATATTATCTAATATTGAAATAGTTCTTCTACGTGAACGTAAGGCGTAAACGTGTTAAATAAAGAAAGGAAGAAGAATGTGTGTATTGTCATGTTGATTGAAAATAGCAATTACTAGATGTATTATCTATCATTTTTAGTGGTAAGTACAATGAATTAAATAACATAGTGAACAAGCAATTTGATCCGTTACTCTTTTGTTTTGTATTTTGTTGCAATAATAATAACCATGCAAGAAAAATATCTATTTGGGAAGGAGGAAAAGTACGTATTTGCCTGAAAGAACCATGGGGTGATATATATTTCATCATTAAATATTCGAACATAACGATACGATCAGTATCGGACTACATACACTTATGCAGGTTAAGCGTAAGTTATAAAGTACTTCTTTCTTGCAGCCTGGTATGTGCAAAACTGTTAAAAACTATAAGCTTTTGAGAAGCTCCCCGAAATGTCATTGAAATCTCTTAAATGCAATTTACATACCTGCCAACTTTCATTCCTTTCCGAGAATGGATTCTCAGAGTGGTTGTAAAACAATAAACGAAAAACAATCTGGCGCAAAAATATAATTATATTTTGATCCCGTTGAAATTCGCTATTGCAAGGATTATTATGCTTTCATATATTTATTGTAATTATTTATATGTAGTGGTGGTCAAACTCATTTATAATTATCATTATAATTCAAAAAGTTAATTGGAATAACCTGAGTATTGCTACCACTTTAAATATGAAAATAAAATCTTCAGCAAAATCCGTAAGAGGTGGCAGGTATGCCGGAGCCATCGCAGCTCAAGTTTCGTTGTTTGTATAATGCGCTACAGACATCTAAAGCAAAATTAGCCAACAAATAGATTTTATATACATATTTATTTTAAATTATTGATTCGCCACCGTAGTGAAACTTTAAGACTTATCAAGATTTAATTCGTCAAAACGCTAATGTAGCTACCACTCAAAGATTTATTTCTCAGTGATCGTACCAGTTGCATACCTGCCTACTTTTACGCATTTGGCGTAAAATTTTATTTTTACATTTAAAGTGGTATTAAAATGTATGCTCTCTATATATTCCCTACATTTATAAGCTTAATTTATAATCTTTTTGACCACCACTATTTTTAAAAAAATTAAGTATTTATGTAATGATGAGATAATCGTCCGCCTAAGCTTCGTCAAAGCAGAGATGCCAACTTGCTCCGGACAGAAAATAAATATTTCAAAGTGGTAGTTTATCAATTGTGATTTTTCGTTTAATAAATTCAATTTAGTAGATTTTTATCCACCACTATTTCTAAATAATTCGTTGACTTATATATTCNAAATATATATGAAAATAACGATAGGGAGGAGTCAGAAACTGAAAATATGGAGAAAGAAAATAGTTTTCAATTGTCTGTCTGCAGTCAGAAAGGCCAGAATATCACTATACTTATTAAAGATAACATCCATAGATGGAAATAAATGATTTTATCAAAAAACATATTACGGAATTTACCTGTAAAATACTAGGTCACCAGATAAATTTAAAAGTGGAAAGCATAGAATCCAATAGATTTGTCTCGAAAGAAAAATACGTAATACCACACAATTCAATTAACCGGCTAACGCCCAGCGTCATATATTTAAGACAGTTCCTTTTTTTCAAAGACATTCATTGTGATGGGAAACTTTCTTCAGAATTTTCATTTATCTGGGTGAATTAAAAAATTCTCAGATACTACAATGATTTAGTTATTTCTGACTAGATCTAGAATTAAAAGGAGCAAGTATTTTTTGATCTATCAAAGATTTTTTGAATGCCATAACAGTTGAAAAACCAATTAATTTCGATAATATATTATATCACATTTTCCATAAAACCACTTTTTGTATCATTTCAATATATAAAGTCGGGACAAAACGGGTTAGTTGGCCCTTGAAAGTAGTCTTAGAGAACAGACCAGTTGAATAAAAAGAAATGATTTTTTTTAGTGTGTTGAGTTTTACAGTTTGTCTAAAGTAAGAACTCCTCCAGACATTCGTCTGCACCTGTGGCGGTAACTATGGTAACGAGGTATGACTATTACACGTAGGGGTGCGGGGTCACTGCTTTGGAGTGGTTTCGGGTAGGGTCGGCGAGAGGAAGTCAATCTCTTTGGTCTATTGTGTTATCCTCCCTAATATGCGCCATTCTTGTTTCCAAAGTACCAGACGACCTCAGACTTTGTGGCGGGAGGAGTTCTTAGCGTAGACGAACAGTACACCAACACATGCCAAGCAAATGATGAAATACAGAGAATGAACCTCGAATACGGAAATGACCTTGATCGAACTTGAAATTCGACATTTTCTCCAGGGGAGGAAAAGCGTTTTTAAAGTTTCAAACTTACACGGCATCATTCAAAAAATAAATAAAATGAATAAATAAATAAGATCACACCAATTAAAAAGTACAACTATCACACGGCTGAAGTTTAAAACAATAGCTTTTATATTTTTGACCCATAGTTTGCTGTTGAGAAAGACATTTTATAAATGATAAATAACGATATTTAAAGAAAACAATAGATGTTGTAGATATATGCTGTAAATATTTGAAATAAAATGTTATTCACCTAGCAAAAGGAGCAAGAAACTGCACTTTCTTGGGTCCCGAACGAAATGCTTGTTCAGCTGTTGTGGAATAATCCAAAGATGCAACACCCATTCTGAAAAAAAAAAACGTTTAAAATGTTACCTAATATTACAGGGTAACACCAAAGTCAACTTTTCATTTTTAATCTGATGGGTGTAGGATTGATGAGTTTCGATGTTTTTACAGTGTACAAAATGAAATACTTTAATAGAATAAATAGAATTAGAATAATTTTACAATCTGATTTTTTCATTAAACAAGAAAAGGAAAATCTCCCCAAGAGAATTAGATCATTGAAAAAAAAAACCCGGACTAAGGAGATGAGAGTATTTAAATGTCCTTACACAAAAAAAAAAAATTTCAGTTTTAATCTGTTATGAATTAAATGGATAAGTTTTGTTGTTTGTATAATGCGCTACAGACATCTAAAAGCAAAATTAGCCAACAAATAGATTTTATTTACATAGATATTTTAAATTATTGATTGGCCACAGCAGTGAAGACTTTTCAAGATTTAATTCTTCAAAACGCTAATGTAGCTACCACTCAAAGATTTATTTATCAGTGGTCGTACCAGTTGTCAGCAATGCAAATATTATTTTATATCAGCCATCCCACAAATTGCTGAACTCAAACTGCTTTTTATTTTAATTTTCTATAAAATTTCATGATGTGTGGGAAATGCATACCTGCCAACTTTTACGCATATGGCGTAAAATTTTATTTCTATATTTAAAGTGGTAGTAAAGTAGTTATAAACTAAATTGATAATCTTTTTGATCATCACTATTTTTGAAAAAATTAAGTAACTAAACAAATATGGAGCGCTGTTGCAGTAGTTCGCAGAAGCCTTCCAATAGTACACTGTATGTTATTTTGTTAATTTGGGCTACAATTAGCATACCTGCCAACTCTTCCGGATTTTGCGGAAGATTTTATTTTCATATTTAAAGTGGTAGTAAATATACACTATTTTTTCTTTTATAAATTTAATTTTTAAATGATTTTGATCACCACTATTCTTACAAAAATTAAGCACATATATGAATATGCGTTACTATCATGGTTTTTAACTTAAGTTTTCTCAATTACAACGCATTTGTTTGCTTAAAATTGAAGTTTTAATTCCATTTTAATACCACTGGGAAAAATTATAATGGAAAGGATTAAAAGTTGGCAGCTATGGTATCTGCCTGAAATTATAATTTACATTAAATTTTACTACCACTGGCGAAAAACATCTTCTAAAGGATTAAAACAGAGATGCCAACTTGCTCCGAGCAGCAAATACATATTTTAAAGTGGTAGTTTATCAATTCTAACTCTTGGCTCGATAATTCTATTTAGAGGATTTTTATCCACCACTATTTCTGAATAATTCGTAGGCTTATATTATTCACCACTGTCTAGTACTTACGTCATGCTATAACTTTTAAAAAGCAAGCAAAAATAGTCAAATATTTGCAAAATTTACTTTATATTTATTTACCGTTTTCTTAATGATTTTGGCGCATCCGGAGCAGTTGGCATCTCTGTTAAACGTTGGTAGGTATGGATATGGGCATTCTGCGTGGCCCAGGTGCCCAGTTTTTGTAAATAAAGTAAGTTAGAAAATTGTTTTGAATGATTGACACACGTATGCTACCACTTTTTAAATTTTTAAGAATCGCATAAATGCTGTTTTAATTAACGAAAAAATTAAGCATTTTATAAAATTGTTCGTTCCTATTGACAGCAAAATTAATGCCTTGTTAATTAAATAAATTGAAATAATTGCTTCAATTGTGTAATCGCGACTCTGTCGTAACATTTACTTTCTCCAATCATAAAAATTCAAGAAAAATTATCACAGCACTTATATTATACTTAAAATTACCCCAACTGCAAAATATTAACATTAGACTTCTTTCCTTTTTAAAAATTCAAGAAAAAAAAAAAGCAATTTATTTTGTATTAAATCATGGCAATATTGAAATGTTATTGCTCTTCCCTTCCAATCCAGCTAGTTTACGGTAACGGAAACAGAGTACATATCAAAAAAATAATAGTATACAATATAATTTTCTTCGGTAGCAGAAACAGAGTACATATCAAAAAAATATTAGTATAGAATATAATTTTCTTACTTTTCACCTATTGTTTTACTACTGATGACTAATAAATGCATACAATGAATACAAATTGCTCCCAAAATTGGGATACCAACTGTACCCAGCTGTAAAAAAAAGAATTCTGTTTGAATGAGGAAAAAGTTAAACATCTAAAGAAATACAACAAAAAATAACAATTCTCAAATATTTAAATTTTTTTCTCTTTTGCCAACCTATTAACCAGCTACAAATACTTTCGCAAGTACTAAGGTACAGCACTTAGAAGTACAGTTACAATGGAACAGTCACGCTTATACTACGGAAAAACATCAGTTCTTTACAGAGTTTGCGCAGAGCATGCGAACATAAAAGCGTGGAATGCTACATGAAGGGTCTAAATCTGGTTTTTGTCATTTTATGAGATTCTACAGTTTTGCTATTAGTTAATAAGTTGGCGTTAGAAAAACGAAAGGAAATTTACTATTAATCAGAATTACAATTTGTCCTGTTCTAATATCATTAGCAAATAATTATTATAATAACTGTGTTAAATTTAGCATCATAATAAAGAAGTCATAATATTAACACCATGAATCCACGCTAATTTTACATAACTGCAAAATAAATTTGCAATATTAGATCGATTTTACTAGATTTTTAAAAGATTAAGTATGACTTACCTGAAAAATGTGGTAAATTATATAAGCCAACGAATTGTTTAGAAATAGTGGTGGGTACAAAATCTACTAAATTGAATTTATTAAACCCAGAATCAAAATTAATAAACTACCACTTGAAAATATTTAGTCGTTGTCCGGAGCAAGTTGGAAACTCTGTGTATGTAAATAAAACTATTTTTGTGTGTTCTATATTGCATTAATTTCTTCAAACCATTTTAGTAACGATAGTAATATTAAAAAAAATTAAAAATTTACTCGAATTATGTGTTTCTAATAATCTTACTTTCGCCATGTCACCGATGATCCCCGTGGAGCTACAAACAAACTCAGTGCCGGTCACAGGCAACACCTCCTACATCAGAAAGCCTCCACACAGTTTCGTATGAGTAGTCTGCGCAGATTATTTAAAAAGTGAACCTGTTGTGCGCATGAACCCAAATTCTATTTTAAAAGCACTTGAAAGAAATTTATCATATATATTTGAGAATTTAATCTGCAGTAAGTAAATAAGACAAACCAATTATATTTATTAATTAAAAAAATTTTTAGACATATATTTGCTATCACTTTCTAATTTTTAATAGATTTCATATAAAATGGTTCTTTCTCATCAATTGGTTTACTTTTATAGTGGTCTGATCAGACTATCTACAAAAAACCCTGTGGAGGCTTACAGTTATAGGAGCCGTTGTCACAGGTGACCTCCATGGCATTCAAAGTGATAATCCTCACTGTATCATCATATAGTAGAATAAACCAAACAATGGCTGAGCGGAATTGACAGAGCTTGTGTAGAAAATGCGTACATAAAAGAGCGGAATGCTACACGAAGGGTCTAAATCTTTGTGTCATTTTTCGAGATTCTAAAATTTTACTATTAGTTAATAAGCTTGGCATTAGAAAAACAAAAAGAAACTTACTACCATCAAAATTATAAAAACAACAAATGTGTTAAGAACTTGCGTAGAAATGAATTTAAAAAAAATTGCAGTAAGAAAATTTCATTTCTACCTTTTTTGAAATGTAAACTATCCGTGACTGCTAATAGTTAAGAACAGTTATTCATATTTACTCATGAAAAATCAAAATTAGTATGAATTGTACATTAGTATTGAATTGTCTAGAAAATAAAATAACTATTAGGAAAGAAAAAGTAGAATTCCTGGCTAAATTATTAGACGCTCTAGATTATTAGACACACTATCTATGTCTAATCTTAATGATCAGGTGACAGCATTATTGTTTTTACGCTGCCGAAACCGGTTTGCACTTGTTTACGTGAGCGCATCAATTGGTAAACATTGTAACGTTAAAAATAAATACATAAAGAAAATATATAAAAAATTTCCGGAATGAAAACCCATTTCATGTATGTTTAAATATAAAAGTATTGCCTATAAACTCGTGCAAATCATGCCATTATTAAAAAACTACAGCGCGTCTAATCATTTGGTCTCATTATTATAATGTACTAATATAATACCTGATATAATAAATATTCTATATTTATGCAATATATCGTTTAATTTATCCAATCGTCGGATTTATATTATATATCGTCTAATTTAACCAATTTGATACACGAACGCAAACAAGTGCAAACGGGTTTTAGTGGTGTGAAAACAATAAAGCCGTATAGTATCAACTGATAACTAAGAATTTACATAGAATATTATAGTGCGTCTACTGTAATAGGCTAGGGACTGTAATAGTTTACTTATTTCATTAAATGTCCAATTTATCTTTTCCAAAATGTCCAATTTATCCTGTATTTTCATAGTAAATTTGTCGGCACTTTCAGACCCTTTCTCTTCATATAATGAATGGGCATACTTACCGCAAGACCAGCGTTTGAAACAGCATTTGGCATTGCTAAAACTCCGATGTTTAGGTTACCTTTTAGCAAGTGCATGAGAGTTGCAAAGCTTCTATAAAAAGAAAAAAAATTTTTATAGGGAAATAGTTTCTTCAAAAATTTTAATCCTTACTTGACTCTAAACAGTTCATTTTTATCGGTTCAAAATCTATAGTTATGCTATAGATGCATTCTTGAAATGCTGAGATGCAGGCAGATAGGTACTACGGAACTTCTGTAGTTTAAAAGCAGGGTGGCGACAATCGGGTTGATAGGATAAAACTCATAGCCTAATTATATCTACGGAAATTTATTAGAGTGCAAAATAGCAACAGTTTAATTTATTTAGCTCGCCGCAGTTTAGATCAAAATAAAAACTTCATAGTTATACTTTGAACTAACACTGATTAGATATAAAGATCACTAATAATCTTGTGTCGCAATTTATGCAATACCATCAATTTAAATAATGTGATTTCCGGACAAAATATTATTTTAATTACACTTTACATACTTGCCAACTTTTACGCATTTGGCGTAAAATTTTATCTCTATATTTAAAATGGTAGTAAAATGTATACTTTCTATGTATTCCTTGCATTTTAAAACTTAATTTGTAATGGTTTTGAATACCACTATTTTTTAAAAATTTATGCATATATTTCATACTATCATACATATTCATAATAGGTTTCTCAAAATAATATGCATATTTCTATCAGAGATAGTAATTCAATTTCCATTTTACTACCACTGGGAAAAGTCATCTTCGAAAGGTTTAAGAGTTGGCAGGTACGCACTTATAATGTTTCAAGTAGTAGTATTTTTCTGTGAAGGATTAAGTACTTTCTTTTTCAAGTAATAGGATTTTTTTATTAAGGTTTCAAGTAACAGAGTTTTTTTAAGAAGTTTTCAAGTAAGTGTTTTTTTTTTGTTTTTTTTATCTGGTAGTAGAGTGCGCAAAATAAAAGACGGAACACCCTGATAACTTTTGATCTAATGATCGGAATTTCACGTTCTAGGACTCATTATTGATGGTTTGAGGAGGTGACTTGAAATTTGCTAATTAATTAGTGCAGGCGATATTTTAAATTACGAAATCAGACGCAAAGTCACTCTTCCACTGAATAAAAGCATTTATTCAAAGTATTTGAATTTCAATCACCAAAATATAGAGAGTAGCTGCAATCTGGGAAATATGGTTCCCATAGTTTGACCAGGAGAGCTATTCAAATTAGGTACCCCTTATGTTAGTCTAAGCTTTTGCGTATTTCACCATACCTCAAGAACTTCTAAAGCGAATTGAACATTTTTGACACACATTTAGGAAATTCGCTTATCCAAAGACAATTTCATGCAAAAAAAAATTTTTTTTGTAGATATTTATTATTTTATTTAATAATAGTCGAAAAAAATTTACATCGTTTAATTTTCAAGACAAAATCCGAAATTTAGCGAAATCTGATGAATAGTTCCTGAGCAATGGAATTTTATATATATGACCTTCTTGATTTCTCAGAAACTATTCGATTGATTTCGTTCAAATTTTGTATTAAGCCATGTAAAATTACATTCTTCTAAATGAAGAAAAATTTCTATACTTTACAATTCAAAATTTTCCCGACTATTATTAAATAAAATAAAAAATAATAATATTTACTTACATTTATTTTCTTCATGGATTTTCTGCATCTTTGGATAAACGAATTTTATAATTGTGAGCAAAATTTTTTTACCTCGCTTAAGATATTCTCGTGATATGAAAAAATACGCAAAAAGTAAAATTAAGGGGTCCAAACATTGGATCGATCTTCTGACCTAACTGTGAGGACCATATTTCCCAGATTGCGGCTTCCTCCCTATTTTGGGAGTCAGAAACAATATTCCGTCAAAAAAAAGTAAATTTATTCAGACATAGTACGTTTTTGTGTCTGATTTCATAGCTTTAAATATCGCTTGTACCAATTTTTTTCAAATTTTATAATTGTCATTGAACAGTCGACCGAATTTCTGGTTAACGGCTACTAATGTTCAAATCCGTAGCCTTGTAATTTTGAACCCAATCCAGAAGACAAGGAGACTCCAGGATCAATTATAGGAGGAAATTCGTCCTCGAGAAGGACTTTTTGTTGTAACTAACCCACATTTGCGTTACATGGAGAGGAAGAACACGGGAGCTTCCCACGNAAATTAAGGGGTCCAAACATTGGATCGATCTTCTGACCTAACTGTGAGGACCATATTTCCCAGATTGCGGCTTCCTCCCTATTTTGGGAGTCAGAAACAATATTCCGTCAAAAAAAAGTAAATTTATTCAGACATAGTACGTTTTTGTGTCTGATTTCATAGCTTTAAATATCGCTTGTACCAATTTTTTTCAAATTTTATAATTGTCATTGAACAGCCGACCGAATTTCTGGTTAACGGCTACTAATGTTCAAATCCGTAGCCTTGTAATTTTGAACCCAATCCAGAAGACAAGGAGACTCCAGGATCAATTATAGGAAGAAATTTGTCCTCGAGAAGGACTTTTTGTTGAAACTAACCCACATTTGCGTTACATGGAGAGGAAGACCACGAGAGCTTCCCACGGTTAGCCTGACAGGAAAGGGACTCTAACCCATGATTCGTCTACCACTGAGGATATATTACTCAGCACTGTGGTCAGTGCAAGCTGGATGCGAATTCGTATCAATAGCCATAGCCGGGGTTCGAACCCGGTTCACCTCATTGGAGGGCGAGCACTCTATCTTCTGAGCCATCGCGGCTCTTCGGGCAGTATTTGGAAAAAAACCAAAAGAATAAAAACATTTAGGTTTTCAATTTTTTTTTTTATTATTTTTTTTTCAAGACTGTGGCGCACGCGGTAAGTTGTTTTCTTCTCAGACAACATATTAAAGAATTGAAACTGTCCTAATTTTTGTACAAATTTCACTAATTTTTGGGGCAATTTGATTGGATTACAGTAGTATTTAAAAAATTTTGATATATTCTTAATTATAGGAGAAAATGAACTGTTTTTTTTTTCAACTAGTATTTTATACTTTCAGATTTAGAAGCAAGCTTAGAATTATTTGTGACAAAATGCATAAAAAATAGCTGGTTAAGTTGATTATAAAAGAGTGAAGAGTCTAAAGAGTAATACGAAGTTTGTTGAGTCACTTGAAGCTTTTGAACTAAATTATCCTGAGATCCGCCAGCATTTGCCACGCCATTCGTGTGGGCATCTTGATTCGCTCCAGAATTGTAGCTAGGCACATCTTTCTGTAAAATAAAATAAGCTCAGTCAATAATTAAAAGCATTAACTTATCAGGGCTGTTTGTATTCCTGGAAAGGTCTTAAGACTAGCAGTAAAGTCATTTTATATCTAGCTTATTTTCGAGAGAAATAAAGAACCTTGGCTACCAAGTCAAATTTAAAGTTATAAGGCGCGTACAAGACTGTTTGTAACCGAGGTAGCCGAGAGGTTAGAGAATTAGACTACGGTTCAGAGGGGCCGGAGCTCGGTCACAGCTATGATGCACATGCGATATACATGGTCGTAGAATCTGTTGAATCGAAAATCCTGTGACTTATTGCTGAGCAATACCATGGGTATGCCATCTGAAGAAAAAAAATTTCGCTTTTAGATATATGTCAAAAGTGTGGCAGCGGTCTCATGAATGAGTGGTGCTGCCATCTATACAAGGGGTTCTGAACTAAGACACACTTACCTTTTCTTGTCAAACGAAAGGCGCACGCACCTTCCTGGCTAAGTTCGCAAAGGCCAATGGTTGGGATGCTTGGCTTGTCCAAGTGTCATAAGAAGCAACATATTTGTTTCACATGCTTTAAAATAAGTTCCAATAATGTTTTGGTAAAAACGGTCTTTGCAAAAATAAGCTCGAAAGAAAATAATTTTACTACAGTTTTATAACTTTCCTGCTAAACAAACAGCTTTAACTTAATACAAGGCATTCAAAATTCTTAAAACTGATTAAACTAAAATGTTTGAAATAAAGCATAAAAAGAATAATTTAAATAGCGTTAATCCAATCGCGGCATTTAACGAGCGAGACTCATCATACATTTATTTAACACGTTGAATGCCATGGGGGTCACCGGTAACCGGCACTGAGTTTGCTCGTAGCGCCACGGGGGGCACCGGTGACCTGTGAAGTCAGGATTATTTATTAGATTTATATCCACCACTATTTCTAAACAATTCATAGGCTTACATGATTCACCACTTTTTTTATATATGTAATACTAAATTTCTTAAAAAAACAAGCAAAATCTGTCTAAAATTTGCAACTTTATAGTTTGTAGTTATTTACCGTGGCCATGCGGGCAAGCCATGTAAAATTAGCATGGCATTCAACGTTTTAACACATTGCTCACCGGTCTCGAGTTAACTCGTGTTTTCGTGGCCAAGCGTTGGTGACCGGTCACGAGTTAACTCGTGTTTTCGTGGCCAAGAGTTGGTGACCGATCACGAGTCATAGCAATCATATTAGTGGTGGCGGCTATTTTAAAAAGTGGGCGTAATTTTCCATACTTTTCAAGTTTTACTATTTAATTTCTTCCAATTTATTATAGCTTTACGAAACCCGATATATTTGCAAAATTTGTGGTGTACCATTACTCGTAGGAGATTCTTATACTTTTTATCATACGGCATTAAAAATTAAAAAATTTTAAAGTTTATTTATATTGTTTTACATCCACATCCGTTTTCCAAACAATAGCCGGGCACATGGGGTAATTTTCAGAAAAGTTGCCGGTCAGCAATGTGTTAAAAGTTGCTGACAAAATATATTTCTGTCAGTTTATTTCAGAGAGAAATAATACATCGATAACTACCGCAGTTCATGAAGAACTAAGCATTTAGAGAAGGTATTTTTTTTTCCTATGGCAGGCACTGAATTTGAATCTTTGCCTATACTATGCCAGAATTGTTGCTCATTTCGCGTTACCCAGTGGGCACCTGTGAACCAAAGTCACGGAGGTGAGTAAGTAGGTGAGTTTGTTAAGTAATTTTGATTACAGATTATTTACTACACCACCAAGTGTGAATGATTCAAGAGTTCTTTTAAAATGCCACTTTGCGTTATTAGACATGTGGTTCTTGTTTTTAAATGTCAGCGGAAAAATTTTTAAAAATACTGAAAAATTCTTCCACTACCACTCTAACCATTTACTGTCCGGACTCTTATTTTGCACTAATACAAAAAGTAACTTTGAGAAAAACGAGGTAGTAAGTTTGCACATAAAATAAATGGAAATTTTCTTCAATTATCTACTAATTTTGTTAAAAAAAAGCAACAACTTTTAGATATCAGAACCAAGTATATACTAGATAATATATATTATCTAATATATATATTATCTAATATATATATTATCTAATATATATATTATACCTTATTTTAACTAATAAATTTTGATTGATAGGAATATTCTGTTTATCCAGTTACACGTGTTAAGAGTTTGAAATTTCTGTTTCCAGTCTTTAACAATTTGAAAAAAAAAATTTCTGAAAATGAAACATTGTCATTTAACCTCTTCGAGAGCAAATATTGAATAAATACAATAATATCAGCAAATAAATTAATATCAAATCGGATATAGCAAATATTGCGGACATTCACCAAAGCGACAGTATGACTTATTGATGAAAGTCGACATTCATCGATTACGGATATTCGCGGTAATATATATAATTTTATGTTATTAATACATTCTGGTAGATAGAAATATTCAGCATGTCCATTTGTAATCACTAAGAAGTAAAGATTTAAGTTGTCAGTCCTTAAAAGTTGAAAAAAGAGATATATTCTAAAAGTAGAACATTGGCTCTTTAACGTTTAAACAAAACTTATACCACCTGTTTTTAACTTAAAATCAGTGGATCATTCTTAAAACTATGCGCAAATTGTGGGTCTGCAGTTGAAAATCATCTCCAATTAGAAAAAAGTATGGAGAATGAGTTGTATCAAGAGAATAAAGCTTAAAAATGAACGACTCAATAAATTGAGAAACGAAACACATGAAATACATTAGTAGTTCCATCTGAAGAAAGGCATAAAATATTTTAATAGAATGGGGAAAAAACAAAAATTAGGAATCTAAGTTTTAAAAGCAAGCAGTGGTGTCTCCATCTGGTGTAGAAATGAGAAAAGAAAGTTGCAGTGCTTAAATTTATTCCCTTTCATTCGGTAAAGTATTTTTAGTAGGTGAAAACTATTTTGATTCCTTTAGTTCCTAACTTGCATGTCCCCTCTCGTTTCCCTTAGTTAAGCTTTAGGTGATCCGTTGACCACATCTGTCAAATATTCCAATTAAATATTTATATAAATATCTATTTATGAAACAAATCTTTAATATATATTTCAGAACCCTTATTTAAAATAAAGTTGAATAACTAGAGTTAACATTGAGGGGAAAGGGGTTCTTAACATGATCTCATAGATCATTATCTGTGTTAATTTGGATTCCCTAATTTATATACGATTTTACAGAACTTCTAAAAATATATGTTTAGGCCAGATTTCGCAGAATAACCTGATTGAGTACTTATTGTGTAAAGTTATATAGCAAGTCTTTGAAAATCATGTTTCGTTTTGTTTTATATTTTTGAAAACCAAAATTCTTTCGCTAACAATGGCTGTTAAGTTATACTTTAATTCTCATTTTTTCGTCCACCATTGTTATAACAGAGCTAAGGAAAATAGTTAAACAATTGGAGTCAAAAGTAACAAATAAAATTTTATGAAGTATTCATTGTTGTAAACTAATTTAACCGATAAGTAAAAATCATTATTGAAATCATTTTACGCTTGGAATTCATATATGAAGGTTGCGTTTTGAAGATGAGTAAAAGTTGTAGAAGAAAGTTAAAAGTTGATAGAAAATAGTAAGTTTAAATAATTTATTAAATATTTATTTCATAAATTATAAAATAACAAGAAAATACAGCTAGCAAATAGTTTAATGGTACTCAAATATATTAAACATTCTTTCATGGCAATGCATTTAAGTATCTTTCAATTTAAACTATTTTTACGTTTGATGTTCGAATTACCTCTTTCTAAGAATACAATTATTATAATTAAAAGCAGTAATATATTTTAAAAATACTATAAGCATGAACTAAACATAAGAAGTAAGAATTATAATGAAATGAAATTAATTTTTTTCCTTCAGTTTTGTTGACTGTATAATCATTAAAAATCAGCCATATTATGGTTTTAGTTAAGGTTGTTTTTTTTGAAAACTCCGTCGTTCGTTATGCTTTTTTGAGAATTATATACTAATTTCATAACAGTTGTTAATTGTAACAGTTACTCATGACTGACAAGTTTAAAATACCTTTAGCCAGTGTTCTCTGTGCTTATTCTGAAAATGGTGCAAAATGTCAATATGGAGAAAACCCACTGTTTTGTTGTGAAAATGGAAAGCGTTTGTGGTTCAAATTTTCAACATTTAAAAACTTACTCCAATGTCGCATTATCTGGGCTCATAAGAAATGACAAAAATTACGAAAAAGATAATTTTCATCTAGGGGTAAAATATCGCCAAATTGGTGATTTTTAAAGAAGTTTAATAACTTTTAAAATATTTAAGATATTTGTTCTAGCACCCAGATAATTCTTTACGCCATGATGCTGTAATTTAAAATTATATTATAATTATATTATAACTTAATTATGCCAAAACTATAATTTAAAATTATAGCTTTCCTTCAAATGTAAGGCACTTAAATTGTTGATTTTTTATTTTCCTTGGCGAAAGAACTTCGAAAACCCGTGTTTATTAGCGTCACAATAAATTAAAGATAACTATTTCTAATTGGCTTGATCGAATTTTCATTTTATAGATCATAACATGATTTTCTTTCTATCCAGACATTGATAAAAGCTCCCTGCAAGTACTGGTAAAAATTTAGCGCGAGGTAAAAAGTATTAGATCTAAAATGTTTTATAAATTTTAAAAATAAATATTAAAATTCATTATTATTTATTTAAAATTAAATTATTATTTATTATAAATTTTAAAAATAAATATTAAAATTCATTATTATTTATTTAAAATTATTATTTATTATAAATTTTAAAAATAAATATTAAAATTCATTATTATTCATTTAAAATCATTATTTATAACAAATTTTAAAAATAAATAATAAAATTTATTATTATTTATTTAAAATCGTTATTTATTGTAAATTTTAAAAATAAATATTACAATTCATTATTATTTATTTAAAATTATTATCTATTAT